TTTATTCTAGAACATCTAAGTGTAGGCATTTTCATGGAGTGAAACCAGCTTATAACTAACAAGGTTCTATTCGTTATAACTAATATGCATGCTTGAATAGGTCGGTAGTCGGGACAGCGAGTAGTACCTACTGTGCTCTTAAAGTAATCGAGTTTAATTGGATTTATTTAAGTATTAAAGTTACAAAAGTGATATATGTGCTTAATATAACAAATATTTGAGATACTGAATATTAGTGCGGTGTAATTTAAAAGTAATCAAAGGTAAAAGTGTAAATAAGGAAACAATCAGTGTAAAAGTACCCTTTAATTGTTGTTGTGTAGCAAAGATATTGATTTGTCCGAACTTACAAACTTATTCCATATTATATTATTACAATTTGAAAAACATTTAATTACCAGTGTATCTAACGAATTGGAATATTATTAATCTACTTATAAAAAACTAAGTTTTAACTTTTAGTATATTGATATTAATTTATATAATCCCTTCTGTGCCAGCTGGTGGCCACTAGTTGCATGGATTAATATTCTTTGTATATACCAATAATTTGGCAAAGTGTGGAGCATGCGGCCGCTACCTATCGGTGACAGATGGCGTTACCTGTGGCAAATGTGATGCCACATATCATCGAGGCTGCCTTAACTTATCTGAAAAGGCAAAGATATCAACTTCCTGGATGTGCCCAACTTGTAAGAGTAAAGTTCCTCGTGCTGGGGACAATTCTAATACACCGGTAAAGTGTCAGGATGTTGGAGATAATAATCCCGTCTACAAAGACATTGACATAGGCCTAGAAATACGCATGTTACGTAATGAGCTCAGTGAAATGCGCAATGAGCTGAAGGATATCAGGGACAATTTCGCCATGTTAAGGGATACAATGCTCGTGTGTAATAAAAATTTGGAAGAAATTGACACTAGGGTCACCAAGTTGGAGAACCGAATGGAAGAACGTGAGCACAAATGTAAGTCCATGGAGCTTGAGAACACAATAGCAGAACTAAGGATCCAACTAAGCGAGAGGGATCAGGATCTATTAGCCAATGACTTAGAAATCCCAGGTCTACCGGAACAAAAAGGGGGAAGTAGCCATTAACACTGTGATACTATGTGCTAGAAAGTTAGGCCTTGATATTGACCACCGTGAAATTGTCCATGCCGAGCGTGTCGGAATATTACGCAAATCTATTGACGACATTAATAGCTGTCAAGAACAAGTTCGTTTGGGACCACGTAGAATTATGGTGCGAATGAGTCGGCGAGCGCTGCGAGATGAATTTCTACGTTCAGCGCGTGTTCGGCGGACAGTAACCACTGAGTCACTGGGGTTACCCGGTGAGCCGCGTCGGTTTTACGTGAATGAGTGGTTAACACCTTTGAATAGGAAGTTGTTTGGTAAGACTCGCGAGGCAGCGAAAAAAGCAAAATGGCGTTATACTTGGACGAAGGGAGGACATATTTTTGTGAGAAAGGAAGATGGAAAGCCTGTAACGCGAATTCGGTCCGAAGCAGACCTTAACCGTGTTTTTTGTTAATCATGCGTTAGCTATTAATTTACTTTTTTTAATATTACTTTTTTTATTATTCTACCTCTTATGTTAGAGATAGCTTAATTAGGTTTGCTAAAACAATATTTATATTCTTTCATAAGTTAGTCTTCATAATAACAATTACATACAGTAAGTGTATAAATATTACTATACATCAACTTAATATAATATATTGCTTTTCAAAGGGTTTATTGTTAAGTTTTAATTCAGCCTATTTTGGTTTATATAAATCAGTATACATGTTCATCACGCATGAAATCTTTAAGTGTAATTTTCATTGTCTCGTTAGTATTTGTGTGTCTGACAAAAGTGTTCATACCGTGAGTAATCGCAATTTTACTTTACTATATTTTTCCGGGTCATTAGTGGTAAACAGTTCCTTACGTTTTTTACTCCACTTACATAAACACAATTTTAATTTTGTATTTATATATAAACACACATATTTTTATTTTTATATTTTTAACGTAAATAATTTTAACATTCGGAAAGAAATAACCTTAATATTCAATAATAATAAATGTAATCTATCAAAATTTATACATAATGTCTTGTCAATATATAATTTATATGTAACGTGTTGTCAGTTTAGTGTACAAAGTAAACATACATCATTTCTTAATAATATTCATTTATTGTACGTAAATCCTGAGATATACTATTTATTTATAAGATTAAATTTACAATATATAATATTTGTTACAATTAGAAAAACCTTATTTGGTATTTTATACTCATTATTACCACATTACTATCTGTTAACAATGGATAAATCTTTTTATTCGGCCAACGTTAGTGGTAATTCGGTTAGCAATGATTAAGGTTAAAGAATTAAAAGTTGGTTTCTTTAATGCGAGTTCATTGGGTACGAAACACGAGGAATTCCTCGTAGCCATGAGTCGACATGATGTTGATCTCATGGCGATAAACGAGACCTGGCTGCGGGAAGGCGAAGATGGGCGCGCTCCGCTCGTACCTGGTTACCGCCTGCGTCACGTGCCGAGGCCACACTCTGTGTGCGGTGGCCGTGGAGGGGGTGTAGGCTTCTACTTCAAAAAGGGGAATCAATGCCCGAACAATATCTACTCCTCACCACAACTGTGTAGAAGAGATGTGGCTAGCCCTGCATATAAACTCAAAAAAAATTGTGATAGGCACGGCTTACCGCCCACCATGGCTTAGCGTTGAATTATTTCTTGATGCTATAACTGACAGCCTTAGCACATTTTCGCACGATTATGTTCTGATTTTGGGAGATTTTAATATTAATTTAATTGACACAGAAGATGTGAAGACCAAGCGTTTTATGGAATTTATAAATTATTTTAATATTAAACAATTAATAGATAAGCCAACACATTTTATCGAAACTAGTCAAACTCTAATAGATGTTATCTGTACTGATGCGCCAACACGAAATGTCACAATTGATCATATAGCTGACTTAGGTAATCATGCCTTTCTTACATGCGAGTTACATTTTAAAATAGACAAAATACTGCCTCGGACGCTAGTATATCGCCCCCTAAATGATATCCTACCTGATTATTTTGAACGAGACCTCCAGATAATCCCATGGGATGTGATCAGTTGTACCGATAATGTCAATGAAATGGTACACTTATTTAATCGCTATATCCTAAATTTGTTTGATTTGCATTCACCTATTAAAACAGTTATACTTAAGGATCGCCCTTGCCCCTGGATAACTAAAACCATAAAATTAATGATGAGCTTACGCGATGAAGCACGCAACAAATATCGATGTTCGCAGTCGCCCAGTCATAAAAATTATTATAAACAATTAAAACATCAAGTAAATGTCGCACTATACTACGAGAAAAAAGCATATTACAAAGTGTTCATTAATAATAATATCAGCAATCCAAAGAAGCTATGGTCAAATTTGAAGGCGTACTCGTTACCACCGAAAAACGAATATGACCTACCGTCACATTTACTGGATCCTGATACTATTAATTTACATTTTTCAAGTATACCAGGTTCCTATAATGTAACTATATCAGATCTTACATATTTAGAATTTAATAGATTTACATCTAAAACTTTTTTGCTGAAACCGGTATCTCAAGATATTACTTTGAATATAATTAAAAAACTAAAATCTAATGCACTGGGAGTTGATGGTATTAACCTAGATATGTTATTAATGACCCTCCCACAAAGTCTTGAAACTATTACCGCTTTGATTAACCTATCGATAACTACAAGTACATTCCCTGACATCTGGAAACTAGCCTTAATACGTCCTCTTCCAAAAAATGCTAATCCTGCTACCGTGACAGACTTACGGCCCATAAGTTTGCTACCCTGTATATCTAAAATATTAGAAAAAGTTGTGTATCAACAATTAATTTCATATCTAGAAAATAATGCTATACTGCCTGACCTTCAATCGGGTTTCAGAAAGGGACGAAGTTCTGCTACTGCCCTATCTGATATAGTAGGTAACATATTGGAGGCCCAAGATACAGGTCAGGGAACTATACTCGTCCTATTAGATTATTCTAGGGCTTTTGATACCATAAATACATCTTTACTTTTGTCCAAAATGTCGTTTTATGGATTTGACCTCAGGACTATAAAATGGTTTCACAGTTACCTTAGTGGACGTTCACAGCAAATTACAATTCAATTAAATGGTCAAAACTGTGTATCTTCTCCGCAGCGAATCACGCGTGGTGTTCCTCAAGGGTCGATTTTGGGTCCTGTACTTTTCGCGTTATATACATCAGACATTAGTAATTGTTTCCAATATTGTAAATATCACTTATTTGCAGATGACACACAGATTTATAAGTCTTTTAAGCCTAGTCACACTACAGAAGCTATTAATGAACTCAACGAGGATTTGGATAAAGTAGTAAAGTGGTGAGAAAGAAACTGTTTAGTGTTGAATCCATCAAAAAGACAAACTTTTTAATTTGCGGAATGAAACAACAGATTCAAAAAATAAATAAATTTGTCCCAACACTGTATATAAAAGGCACGGTATTAGAAAGAGCCGATATAGCACGTAATCTAGGAATCATAATTAGCCCTGATCTCAGATTTCAAGATTATATCAATAACATTGTTAATAACTGTTTTTATAGGTTAAAAATCCTATACAGAATGCGTGAACACTTAAGTATAGAATTACGAAAAAGACTATCGGACACCCTAGTACTATCAAAATTTAATTATGCTGATACGGTTTATGGGCCTTGTTTACTATCACGTACCGCACACCTTATTCAACGGGTCCAAAATGCTTGTGCGAGGTTTTGCTTCGATGTACCACCAAGAGGTCACGTAAGCCCATTTCTTGACGACAATAATATCCTTAAAATGGCTGCCAGACGCAAACTTCACTTAGCTTGTGCACTTTTTGGCGTCATAAAGACAAAAAACCCAAAGTATCTTTTTAGTAAATTAGACTGGTCTCGCGAGCATAGCAAGTATCTCACCCGCGCTTCGTCCTATAATAGGCTCAGTATTCCGCGACATTCTTCTTCAGCATTTCGAGGTTGTTATAAGTACGCAGCCTCCCATTGTTGGAATAATCTACCTCCTCCACTGCGTGACCTAAACACATTAGGCACGTTTAGAAAGCACTTAAAATATCTCCTAATAAACGAACAGAAGGGCATACAATAAATAGGAGTATTGTTAAAGAGGTTAGACGTTAGCTACTGATATTCCGTTTACATATTATTTATTATGCTATTACATATTATTATTTATTACAAAAAGCCTATTAAACGTATGTATCTATGTATATGTATGTATGTATGTATGTACGTGTACGTATATATGTATATATATATATATGTATGAATATATATATGTATATATAATTTTATAATATACACTGTTAAATTAAATTATTGCACTTACTAATGTTCCCGTCACGTCTCACGTAGCGTTCAGCAACTTACGTTCAGCACAACTATACAATACGTATCTTCCATTTTGTTATTAACATTCATCAGTTGTTATTATCATATGTATCTACTACTACTCGCTTAATGTCAACACTTTCGGCACGGTCTCCGTAGGACCGTATGGGGCCGACTGAAAATCAGCGTCGCTATCCCGCGGCTTATGCTGAGGCGGTCCCTTCCGCCACTTCATCTGTTTCGATTATTAATTTTATCCTCTACTTTTTTTTTGTTTATAAATTTCTTGTGTTTTTATTTCTTTTATTTTATTCATATTCGTCTTCATTTTGTTTATTAATTTGTATTGTAATATGAAGCGTCGGAATAAATGTCTTTATGTCTTTATGTCTTTAAACTAAAAAAAATTGATTGAATTTAAAATAAGTAACATTACTATAAACTATTGAACAAATATAACTTCATCGGTTTTTAGAAGTCCTTTGCTAGATACGTGCCTCTCCCAATGTAGATAGGATAATCGTCACGCTGCTGGTGCTTTCCGTTTCCAGACTGGGTTTTTACGTAAAGTATTTTCTTTCACGCACAGTTTCTTTTTGGCCAGTATGTTTATACAGCAAAACTTCAAAAAATGAATTTGCCGT